AAGATGACAAAAGCACTAGCACCTTTGGGCCTCTTGGAGAGATCCTGACCGAGGAGAGGGTCAGTCATCATCTTGCTCGAAGTCTATGGGTGAGAAATGGCATCGTAAACAAAGCCTTGAACCAAAACTAGATAGATTGAGTTTGAGACTTTTAGGTGCATGTTTTCACTTTTATTTGTGGTAAGCATTTATAACTTTCTCTCTTATTCTTGAATTCCCTTGAAATCCTGTCTTCTTTTGTTAATTAACTTGTTTTATTTTTAATCTAAATTAGTCCAGTGCTGTGTTTAAACTGAACTGTTTGTTACTTTAAGTGGAGTAATCAAACTGTTGAATAGTGACTCCTCACAGGGGTAACAAACCTTACTATCTGAACTGTCCAGTAGAGGGCTGAACATTGCAGAACATGTTTTTGGGAAAATCTGGGACAGAGTGTGCTGGGAGTGTGCTCCCCTCTTCATGGAAAGCACTGGCCTCTCCCTGCAGCTCCCAGCTGTTCCTCTTACCTTTGCTTCTCCCAGCATGGGGCAGCTCGCAGTATGCCGGCTCAGCTGTCTCACAGGTGTTACCCCAAAATGTGGCCCCCCAAGCACCCGAATAGTGGCCTGTTTGTAACTGTAAACCAATTATCAATTTGGCCTGCTTCAAGGAGTAACAGCAGGTGGCCTGCCCTAGAGTAATTGCCAGGGTTTTACCAGGAGTTTGTCTCTAACCCTCAGAGGACTGACTCCACAGAGCAGACTAGTTTTGTTAACCCATGAGAAGACACAGATAACAGCCTTCTGCTCAAAGGATTAAACACTTAAAAATAATTCTTCAAAAACAAAATAACATTTATTCAAAGAAAATAATCAGTTAGTCTTAACAATCAAGAAAGAATACACTAAAATACAGGACACACAGCATTTAGGAATCATACACATAGGCTACACAAAAAGAAAAGGAGTACTTGTGGCACCTTAGAGACTAACCAATTTATCAGATCATATAGCAGATACATTGCATAATATGGCACACATTGATCCCCTCATACATGTGTATAAAACCTTAATACAATGTTATTAAATCTATTACAGTGTAACAGAGATTTCCATACATATGTATAAAGCAACATTACAATGTTATACCTTAAAGAAAGCTAAACAATAACATTCTATAAGTGATGCTTATTCATTCATAAAATGGGTGAAGTACAAATCCATTCAAACGCAGGCATCCACCTTTATTTACAATCATACTCATGCATTCCTTATAATTAAAAAGGAATTATATACTTACTTTCCTTCTTTATAATCCCTCTGTACTATCTCAAGAGTCCTTCTGTTCTGTCAGCTACTGCTGCTTCTTCACTGCTAACTCTTGCTCTTCTCTTGCTCTTCTCTTGCTACCTTCTTGCTTTGCTCCTGCTTGCTCTCTTCCACTTATACACACACCCAAGCCTGTCAGCTCTCTGCCTTATATACAATTTTTGGCCTTCTTTGATTGGTTGCTTTCTCAATTCCAGCTATTAGCATGGATCTTCCCCATGGGGTGATACCTGCTTAGCCAATCAGCTTTACTTGTCATTTTTGCTGCTAGTTGAGAAGTTTCTCCTCACCCCTCCGTTCAGACATTTTGGAGTTAGCTCAGCCCCGCCTTGCTGAACTTTATTTCACCATAATCTTCTGTCTGCCATTGGTCAATTCAGTCCAAATCCTCCATTTTGATGTCTCTAATATAAAATTATTATGGTTGCTATTTTAGATTTCTATCTATAAACTATTATTTCTTATCAAAAGCCTTAAATCTGAAACGAACTACATTTCTATGCATGTTTAAGCATTATGACACCGTCACCACCTTTGTTATGTTAATTGGGAGAGATGATTTCTACAATGTTTTCTGCCCCATCTTTGGATGTTTAGAGTTGCCTGGCCTGACTGCTTTCCATGGTACTGTTGATTTCCTTACACAGCAAAAAGCAGCTAAAAGCCTCTTGTATCACAAGGAGGGAGCCCAGCTGCACCAAGTGACTGAGCAACCTGGGGGGGGAGGAACATGACCCTGCATGCACCCCCCTCCCTTGCATCACCTCTGACTGGAGGATAGCTAATGTAACACCATTTTTTTTTTTTTTAAGGCTCCAGAGGCAATCCTGGAAATTACAGGCTGGTAGGCCTAACTTCAGTACCAGGTAAAATGGCTGAAACTATAGTACAGAAAAGAATCAGACACACAGATGGACATCATTTGTTGGGGAAGAGTCAACACGGTTTTTGTTAAGAGAAATCATACCTCATCAATCTATTACAATTATTTGTGGTTGGGGGGAAGGGGGTCAACAAAGATCTGGATAAGAGTGATCCAGTGGATATCGTTTACTTAGACTTTCAGAAAGCCTGTGACAAGGTCCCTCACCAAAGCCTCTAAAGCGAAGTCATGGGATAAGAAGGAAGTTCGTCTCATGGATCAGTAACTGGTTAAAAGATAGGAAACAAAAGGTAGGAAAAAATGGTCAGTTCTCACAATGGACAGAGGTAAATAGCAGGGTTCCCCAAGGATCTGTACTGGGACAAGTGTTGGTCAATCTAATCATAAACGTCCTGGAAAAAAGATAGTAAGTCCAAAAGATAGTAAGATAAGATAAATCATCACATCTATCATCCGCATCCACTCCAAAACTGACTGTGAAGAGTTACAAAGTGACTCTCAAAACTGGGTGACTGGGAAATAAAATGGCAGATGAAATTCAATGTTGATAAATGCAAATTAATGCACATTGGAAAACATACTCCCAACTATACACCCAAAATGATGGAGTCCATATTAGCTGCTACCACTCAAGAAAGAGATCTTGAAGTCATTGTGGATAATTTTCTGAAAACATCTGCTCAATGTGCAGTGGCAGTCAAAAAGCAGAAAGAATGTTAGGAACTATTACGAAAGGGATAGATAATAAGACAAAAATATCATAATGCCACTATATAAATCCATGGAATGCCCACACCTTGAATACTGCATGCAATTCTGTTTGCCCCATTTAAAAAAAATGATATATAAGAACTGGAAAAAGTACAGAGACGGGCAACAAAAATGTTTAGGGGTATGGAACAGCTTCCAAATGAGGAGACATTACAAAGACTGGGACTGTTTATCTTAGAAAAAGAGATGACTTGGGAGGGATGTGATAGAGGTCTATAAAATAATCAGCGGTGATGAGAAAGTGAACAAGTGTTATTTACCCCTGCAAATAACACAAGATTCAATGAAATTATTAGGCAGCAGGTTTAAACCAAACAAAAGGAAGTACTTCTTCACACAACTCAAAGTCAACCTGTGGAACTCTCTGCCAGGGGACGCTGTGAAGGCCAAAGGTATAACTTGGTTAAAAAACAATTAGAGAAGTTCATGGAGGATAGGTCCATCAATGACTGTTAGCCAAGATGATCAGGGACTCAACCCCATGGTCTGGATGTCCCTAAGCCTCTCACTGGACTAAGCTGAGATGGGACAAAAGGGAACAGATCACTTGATAAACGCCCTGTTCCATTCATTCCCTCTAAAGCACCTGGCACTAGCTGCTGTCAGAAGACAGGATACTGGGCTAGATGGACCACTGGACTGACCCAATGTGGCCATTCTTATGTTTTAGGAATGAAGCATATACTTTAAATGGGAAATACACCTTTCAGAAACAACCTGAGTTGTTGAAAAATGTGTCAAATTAAACCACATATAACATTTTTCAAGACGCTCTTAGCATTTCTCTCAAATCAGAATTTACATTTTTCTAGGCAGTTTAAGTTCATACTTAACAAATGTAGGGTAAATGTAATTTTCAATCATTCCTTAAGCATTTACATCATGTTTAAAATAATTACTCCTCAGTGAATTCTGCACCACTGCATGCACGTAGAATTAATGACCCCCAGAGATTTCTTTGCTTCCCCACAGAAAAATGACTTTCTGACAGGCACGCAAAGGGAACCCACAAAAGCAGTCACGTGCCCCTCCCCAGCAGCACGGGCAAGTCATTTAGGGTGCCCAGAGCAGCCAGTGGATAGGTAAATCACTGGGGGCTGGGGGCCTGGGGATGCCTTAGCCAGGTTCAGGTCAGATGTCCACCCAACTTCCATGCATCCAGACCCCCCTGCACCCAGACTGCCCCCCATCCCATCCCCTGCATCTGGAGTCCCCCAGCACCCAGACCCCCCTGCTGATCCCCAACCACCTTCACCTGAACTGCCCTGCAGAGTCCCATTGGCCCTGCACCCAGAAACACAATGAGCCCCTGACCATGCAGATCCCTCGTGCACCCAGACCCTCCCACCACTGAACCACCCGCACCCAGATTGCCCCACACAGAACCTTTTCAACCCACTCCTGGATTCCCCCTGAGTCTCTAAACAGTTGGATCCTGCCAGGCATAAAATTCTGCCAATTTTGTCAATAAATAAATGTGGAGGCTCAGCACTAACATGGCAGTGGGGAGCACAAGCCACTGGTTGCACAAAGGTGGAAGATCACCCTGCAGCCATTCACTCCCCTGCTCACCACAGACCTCTGGGACAGCTCTGGCCATTGTGCTGTGTCAGGATTGGGTGCAGCTTCACTGAAAAGTCTGAGGGAGGAGTGAATGAGGGGCACATGCTGGGGGGAGACTAGAGGGGGTTTCAGGAAGTCCCTCAAATAGAGGGGAATGGGAAAATGGTATACATGGAACTTGAGGAAGCAGGAATAGAGGAATGGCAGGAGTCCCCGGGGGTGAGCAATAAACTCAACCAACAGAAGCTGTAAATAAAAATCATTTTTCGTTATTACACGTACTAAAAACATAATGGGAAATCACCACATCTATCATCCGCATATTGTAAATCAAATTTAGGTGGGGAGGGAGCTTGTGTAAAATATCACTCGCACTTAAAGTGGCCCCTCAGAAGCCTTGTGTTTGTCATTAACTGATAACAGAATTTATTTAGTCCAGAACAGTATCTGAGGGGCTGGGTTGCCTCCAGTGGGTGGGGCTGGAGCCAAGGAAACGTTCCTTCACATTACGTTAGGCAGCAGAAGCAATTTCAAAATAAAACTGTAGCGAGTACATCGATTCCAGGCGCCTGTTGGGAGGCTGCTTCCTCTGACCCAGACTGGCTGGCCTCAAAGGGCCGAAGCAGCGGAACGTTGCTAGTCGCCGACTCCACAAAGCCCAGGCAAACCGCCAGGAAGCGGGGCACATGCACCACCGCCGCTCCGCGCGGGGATCCTGGGCGGGCCGCCTGGCACCCGACAGACTGGCCCCCCCGGGCCTTAAGCAAGAAGCTTAGGGGGGGCAACGCCCGGATGCAGCGGCTCATTGCCGCCCCGCAGCCCAGCTCACGGACCCTCCCCTTGCTCAGGCCCGGGGGCTCCAGCGCCTGCCGGGCCCCGCACGTGCCACAGCTCGCGCAGGATCCCGGCCAGTCGCCCACGCCCTGCGCGCGCGAGGGAGGGAGGGAGGGGCGGGGCCGCGGAGGACTTTGCCAGGACCTCGTCTGTCGCAAATCGTGTGCCTCGTCCCAACGCGAGCACACTGCACGTGCGCCGGGTGGGGCTGGGAGGGGGCACGAGACGCGGGAGCGTTGTCTGTCCTCGCGCACCGACCCCGTTGTGAGGCGCGCGAGCCCGAGCCGGGTGGAACGGCACAGAGCGGCGAATCGTGTTAATTCCGTCTCGCCTCTTGACGCGTCACACGCGTGCGCGACTCGAGCTCCCGATGTCCGCGTCCTCCCAGCGGGCAGGAGGCGAGATCTCGCGAGGTTTCGACCTGGCGAGGGCGGCGCGGGGCCGGGGAGCCTCTCTCGGCTCGTTGGCGCTGAGTTGGTAGAACAATAGGCGCGTCCGCGGCGGCCAGCGCGTGCAGGGAGAAGAGGTGCGTGGGCCTCCCCAGCGCCCTTCCCTGGCCCAGACCCGCGCGGGGCTCTGACGTTAGGAGCCAGCGGAGGCGGCGCGTCCTGTCCTGCCTCCGCGTGCGGGGGGGAGGGCCCCCCCCCCAACTATGACCCCCCTCGGGGTGGGGGGCTGCGCTGTGGCCTGGGGGGAATCTCCCCTCTCCCCGCTGTACGCTGGTCACAGGGCGTCTCCGAGCGGACTTTGAGACTGTTACAGCCCCGCTCAGACTCGGCTTATTTTTTCCTTCCCCCCCGTGCGTGTATTGCGCGGAGCCGGCTTTAGGGGAAATGGTGCCCTTGGCCCCCCGCGGGCTCCCCGCCCTCCGTCGCCCCTAGCCCCTGCACCGCCTCTTGCGCCCACGCGGGGAAACTGGGGTGGATGCACGGAGCAGCTGGCGTTGCTGCTGGCTCCCCTCTAACGGCTGCTTCCGCCCTCCCCGCGGGGGCGGGGGGAGAGCGAGAACATCAGGGCTCCCTCCCTGCATCCCAGGTCACTTCCCCACCTGGCTGCCTAAGGGAAGGGCAGAGAGCAGCGGCTCCTGGTGCTCGCCTCACAGCCCAGATGGGGAAAGTGACCTAGATGCAGGGGGCCCTTGCTGTTGCTCCTCATTCTCCCCTTCACAGTCCCCGAGGGGAGCATGAAGAAAAGGAGGACTTGTGGCACCTCAGAGACTAACAAATTTATTTGAGCATAAGCTTTCGTGAGATACAGCTCACTTCATCGGATGCATCCGATGAAGTGAGCTGTAGCTTTTCTTTTTGCAGATACAGACTAACACGGCTGCTACTCTGAAACCTGTCATTATGCAAGGGGAGCATTGGAGGAACATGGTGCGGGAGCCATATCTGTGTGTCATTGCTCGCCTCCCCTCCCCCATGTTCCTCTGCTGGGAGGAACCGGGGAGAAATCTGGGCGCCCCTCACACATGGTGCTCTCCTGCCACCCTAGAGGAGTTTCTGACACTACACCAGCAGCGCGCACCTCTGCTCTGCTGCACGGCACCCCCTTGACCACTTGCACTCTGGGTAGTCACCCAGGTTCCCCTCTTCCTCCTCCGCCCCAAGGCTGGGCCTGGTATTGGGTGACGCTGCATAGGCAGTTACACAGTTTCTCTTGCATAGTCAGTGCAGGTGTTTGAGGCAATAACAAATCACTCCAAAATTCTGAAAATAAAATGAATGTGATTGGACAACAGACTACATTGGAAGGGGCACTCATGGGCAGGTGTAGTGACTTTTCCCTCCCGTTTGAGCTGCCTTTCACTCCCATTTGAAATTGACTGCATTTCAAGATGATGCTTTCCCTTTATGATCGTGGATTATCAGGATCTGACAGTGTTTTATTTGAAGTGGAAGTCAAGGCAATCTTCCCTCCTACATTATCTTTTTTTTTTTTTTGACACTTAGCATTAATTAACTTCCAGACAAGGAATGCATTTTCAGTTCTTCTATGTAATTGTCTCAAGCGTGTATTTATAATGATGTAGCTGTGTTGGTTTCTGGCAGGGCCAGTGGAGCCCTCCCAAAAGTCTTGGGGCCAGGGGCCCCTGCCTCTTCCGGCCGAGCTGGAAGCCAGAGTGGGCCGGGAGCTGGGAACCCTCCACCTACTCTGGGCGGGGGGCCGCAGAGCAGAGACACAGGCCTGGGGCTGCTCTCCATCCCCTACCCTGGACAGGTGGAAGGTCCGTGGCATGGCATCCAGCAGCTGCCCAGGCTCCCCACTGGCTGCCAGCAGGGGGCAGAGAGATGGGGTGGGGGCAGGTCCATGGCAAAAAGGGGATGGGCTAGGCCCATCCACTTTCAAAAAGTTCCAGGATATTTGAAAGACAAGGCAGGTGAGGTAATATCTTTTGTACCAACTTCTGTTAATAAAAGAGACACGGTTACACAGTTCTTGAGCTCGAAAGTTTGTCTCTTTCACCAACAGAAGTTGGCCCAATAAAAGGTATTACCTCACCCACCTTCTTTCTCTAGAGCTTGTATTGTCACTTGCAAAATATGGCCCAATCCTGCAATCTAATCTGTGCAAGCAGAGTCCTTATAGATCAGTTTGATGATGTGTTACTGATTACCTTCTACATGGCTCCCATTGTATGGTAAGGGCCTTGACATACAGCTTTTTTTTTATTGTCATTCAACTTGATTTTGGCTTTCTGTGTTTTCCACCAGATATTTTAAATATTATTAGTGGATGATGGGACATTTCTCTTGCATAACCTTGTAATGTCCAACAATACACTCATCTGGTGGTGGCGTAACTACCTCATTCATTACAAGTCTGCGGCTGTAAAATGATCCTGCTCTGAGCACATCCATTCATTGTTACACCATCTGGATTCAAGGGCTACTTTGTAGAGGAATGTGGGCCACTAAACACATGTGTAGCATCCAAAGGCAATGGCCTTCATTGAAAGAGCATGGACTGCATGGTAGCATATTTTTAAAAATTCACCAGTTTTGGACGGGTGTTCTGGGTTGCTGCCATGTAAGAGCCACACATGTTAAATCCACATATAAAGTAAGTATCTACTTAATTTACTTTTTCTATGGTATAGGTATTCATGGTACTCTTTCAACAACAAGACCAGATTCCTTCCTCTAGAGTTTACTGTCTTAGGGTTTGATGAATTGAGGACTACTCGCATAAGGGTTTGCAGGTTTGGACACTAACTCAGAAAAATGACCGGACTAAGGGGTAGAGGTAGGGAAGTAACAGAAGATATGTAACTTGCCATATAGGTTTCTTGTTGTTCTTCTAGCTTTGTTAAGAGGAAAATAAAACCTCTGTAGTTTTAATAAAAATGAGATGATTACAGGTGGAAGACTAGCTGAAAGAAATAAGTGTTTAGGAGAGACTTGCAGGAGGGCATGAACTGAGGTGATTTGATTTACTGAATACGGGAATTAGTCCTCATGTGTGGGGGGGATGAGGCATGAAGACCAGAAAAAGAGGTTAAAGGATTTGGTAAGGTAGGATTAGAGCATAGAATTTGAGTATGACTATGGAAGGTATGCAAGGAGAAAAGCCTAAGGCTGTGGAAACATGATTGAAGCAGTGGACAAGATAATTTATGAAATATAAACTTAATCTTGGTGTTTGCACATCATGTTCTACACATACTGCTTGTAAGTGGCGTAGTCTACTACAGTGGTTCTCAAACTAGGGCCTCCACTTGTTCAGGGAAAAGCCCCGGGGGCCGGGCTCTTTTGTTTACCTGCTGCATCTGCAGGTTTGGCCGATCGCAGCTCCCTCTGGCCACGGTTTGCCGCTTCAGGCCAATGGGGGCTGCGGGAAGGGCGGCCAGCACATCCCTCGGCCTGTGCCGCTTCCCACAGCCCCCATTGGCCTGGAGCAGCAAACTGCGGCCACTGGGAGTTGCGATCGGCCGAACCTGCGGACACGGCATCTGAACAAACTGGCCCGGCCCGCCAGGAGCTTTCCCTGAACAAGCAGCGCCCCTAGTTTGAGAACCACTGGTCTACTGTACTTAGTTTTAGACATTTACTTAGATTAGTTTCAGCTTTGAAAGTGTAAATTACTGCATGCTGTTGTTTATTATAAATAATAGCATATAATATATTATGGAAGAGTGTTACACTGTACAAATATGTAAATGACATGGAGCTTTTATTCATCTTTCTAAGGAAAACATGCCCAGCTAGTTTTAAAAAGCACATCGTAATTTTTCACAGCATTATTTTAAATACTTCAGAAAAAAATAAGCTGAGATTTTCCTGCAACCATTTCTTTTATTCTTTCCTTCAAAAGATTAACCTTTGATTGCCTTAATATGGGTGTCCCAGGTACAGAATGAATGGCTGATAATGGACATGGCAACCGCTGTTGGTGCTAAGAAAGTTAAAACAGCCTATGGGAAAGGGCCCAAAGCAACATATGATGAAAGACAACTCATGATGGAAGGTATTTAATACTTTTGTTCTCAGTTAAACCCCAAATATATTGTTTTTTTCATCAAATTACTGTATAATATAGAGTTAAGTATTTTGTAAAAAAAACCAAAAAACCCCCACAACATACAAGAATTTTTTATTGCTAATAAAAAAGAGTTTTATATTTTTTCCACAGTGCACTAAATAATAATTATTATGGTTAACTGGGGTACATTCTGCAATTTAAAAAATAAATTTTATTCACCCAATACACTATTGGTCCAATCCAGTTGAAGTCAGCAGAACTCTTTCTGTATACTTTATTGGGAATTGGCTGATGATTTAGAAGAAGCTGAAACGGTCTACCAAATGACAAGGATGCAATCTGGTATTATTTTGTAGTTCTTTACTCCATAACTTAGCTTGTATGTTGGTAGCATGAGGTGACTTAGTAATGGAGTCTTTGTGTGAGCTTTGGGCTCAATCAGAAGCCCATTGAAATCAATGGAAGGACTCTCTTTGACCTCAGTAGTTTTTGAATTAGAGTCTTTGCGTTTGATACAGCTCACCACTTGGGGCTTTTGTGGTTTTGAAGACACACCAAGGGAAGACTCTCATAAGTATTTACTCCTATCTGATTTTTTGATGCTTATTAAGTTGATAGTTATTTTACAATCCCTGGAAAGCTGCCCCAGTGTGAATATAAATTTGTGAATACCTTGCATCTCTTCCTTTCATGCCTTTGCTTATTTTCTCAAGATAAAGTCCAAGTTAAATTGTAAGCTTGTTTATTGAACTAGCAATGCATGGTAGCTAACCATCCAGCATGCTAATGTAATATTTTAAGTCTTTTCATTTAGTGCAAATATTTATCGTGTCTCATCTAAACTGCTTGATAGCTCTCATTCAGTATATTTTTGTTCAGAAAAATGGCCCATTTGTTGGCAGTTCCTTTTTGTTAATTCTCGTTAAAAATTTTGGTGAAATAAGTCTATAGCAAATGTTAGGCTGTGGGTTGTTATTTTTAAAATATTTTTTACTATTATTTGTGTAACGGTATTTCCCAGAAGCCCAACAGAGATAGAGGCACCATTGTGCTAGCTGCTGTACATACACATGTAAGAGACAGCCCTGCCCTCAAATGTTTAGTGTGTAAAGTTACATGTCCTGCAGTACCTGCAGACTCAATGAGTGAGCAAACATTCTTCATCCACTCACATGTATTGCATTGCAGGATTAGGGCCTAAATAGACAAGACAGATTAAGAGAAGAAATACCAACTACATAGAAATTGATTTTTTTTTGGCTCTTAAAATACTTAAAATACATTTCCAGTTCAGATGAGTTTGCACACAGAAGTAGCTGCATCTTCTGTTCTTTTTACACTTCATTCAAGGTCTCTGCACATCTTTAAATAACAGTTCTATGGAACACTTAAGAAGGCTCGTGGTAGTAGGAATTCAAGCAGTTCCTTTATGCCACTGACATTGGACTCTCTGTCTGCTTGACAGCCTTTTATTTGCAGCACTGGAATTTTGAACTAGTGACCACCTGTATTGGTCAGTGGTCCAGTGTAATCAGCAAACAGGCCAGGTAAAATTGTTGCTGTTCTTATAAAGGAAGCTTTAAATGGTTGTGGGGGAGGGGAGTTGTGGGGGAAGGATTAGTTTTAAATTTGAATAGGTTTGATACATAGATATTTTGGGACAGAGGAAAGGGGACAGAACTTTAAAAAACAAAGGCTTAGTCATGAGTGTTTTTCATTTTTACCTACTCCAGTACTACAAATTTATAAATACCCTTATGTTCTTTGGCTTTCCTCTAACCAGATCTGTACCCTAGGGACCCTGTTATGGCACACTGTAGAATTCTCTGTGCCCTTGCCCACCTGTTCAGAATGTCAGATTTGTCATTTCTTTGGGACCCTTTCTCGTTACCTAAGTTGGTGCAAAGGTGCTGGTATACTGGTGTAAGCCTGTTCCAAAAAAATATCCCTTGTAAAGAAGACTCCTTCTTCAAGGCATAGAGTTTGCTCTGTCTGCTCTGTTCTTGCTTCACAGAAGATGCAGGAAGGATGTATGAGACATGGGTGATCCAGAGGTGGGAAGGACTGATTTGAGAGTGGTAGGGTCTGTGGCCTAGGTAAGCTTGTCTCCTTGTCTTTACAATGGCCCATAGGCATTCTGTATAACAGGGGCACCAGTTAGGGCAGCCCTTGGGATTGCCCTAGTTTGTGCCATGTGGCAAACCAGCCCCTAGAAGTCTCTGAACAGGGGAGGTGAAGCTGTCTTCCCTCTGTTCCTACAACAACACTAATGCCTTGTCTACACTGCCACTTTACGGTGCTGAAACTTTCTCATTCAGGGGTGTGAAAAAAACACCCCCTGAGAGCTGCAAGTTTCAGCTCTGTAAAGTGGCAGTGTAAACAGTGCACCAGTGCTGGGAGCTACTCCCCTCATGGGGGTGGTATTTTTTACAGCGCTGGTGCTGCGACTACACAGCCACTTTAAAGCGCTGCCGTGGCAGCACTTTAATGTCCTAGTGAAGACATACCCTAAGATGGAGCTGCACTTAAGTCACGTTTACCTGTTTCTGCGTCCCTTAAATGCACAATTATGTTCTCTTTGAAAACATTGGCAAGCAACAAATATCTGATGTTCCCAGATACAACAGTCAACGCCAAATTCAATGTAGATTAAATAGGGGAGGTATTTATTAATTTACAGACTAAAGAGGAAACAAAAAAGTTACATAAAGTGTAAATACTTTATCTTGGAAACTAAAATAAGATTCTGAAAGTTGCAACTAAGGTTATGGAGAAATGTAGAGGAAAATAGACCCTCCCAATGAGCTCCATGACAGACCACAGCTTTTGGTTTTAGTTAGTCTGTATCATTTTTTCTCTCTCTTTTTCTACATCCTTGCACTTCAAAAAGCATCGGTGTCACCATTTCAGTACACACTAGGCTTAGATTATCTTTTACATATGTAGGTGTTACCAAAAAAAGCTGCTCTGATTTCAGAACAAATCTTATTTTGCTCTCTCCCTGCTACACTTTCTTCTTAAAATACACTTTCTATGGCATTTATTTTTTCTTTGTATTGTCTCAACAATTCTACATAAAATATTCATATATATTCTCCAGTTACTTTTCTCACATATCACTTAATTTGCTTATTATACAGCTAGTTGGTTTACAGTGTATCTCATCTTTCTTGAAATAGCCATCTATTATTTTGTAAATTACAGATTCTATATATTCCCCCACAAAAAAAATAGAGATAAGGTAGGAAGTGTTTTTTCAGTGAATTCTAATTAACACCATCTAAACGATAAACTTTTTTTTTTTTTTAAAAGAAGGTCTTACACTTTAGACAAAAAATCTCCCATACATTAATGATTCATTTCTGTGTTACCTGATCCAGTCTGTATGGAAGACATTCAACATACAAGTTTAAACAAAGTACAGACTTCAATGTATAAAATATATCAAACTGTCTGTTTCTTGGAAGTATTCTGCTGCTTTTTCATAGACTTTCAAGAAGAGCTTTTTAGGTATTTTTAAACCTGTATACAAAGAGGAAATCTTTCTCCTCTTCCTGCTTTTAATCCGTACTAAATGAAGGAAGCATAAAGGATTTAACCTTCTGTTAGGGGCTTCTCTTTCAGAATGCTTTATTCTTCTGATCATTCATCACATGACCATATGAAGCCCTGAAACCTGTACTGTACACAAAGGATGTGTTAGAGGCATGCAAACTAAATTTGGGAAAACAAAGAATCTTAATGCCTAGAGAATTCAAATATTCCTTTAGGTAATGAGTTAATGAGGATCAAACAAATCTGTCCATAGTGACTGTGTAACTGTCACGCTTCACCCCAAATTCTTCAGTGATATTATGATATAATTATGACATAGTTCTGATGTGTTTTATGCAAGATAAGTCATGTTAGATGTCATTGGAAAGGTTATGATCTGCTGAATATGATTATCCTATTTGTATGCATGTATCATTTTTGTATCTGAAGTTAAGAATATTGATTATGTATCTGTATTACAAAAGTGTTTATACCTGGGGAACGCTCACTATTTCATAGATATTTAGGTCAGAAGGGACCATTATGATCATCTAGTCTGACCTCCTGCACCGCGCAGGCCACAGAATTTCACCCACCACTCCTGCATGAATATTTAGCTACCAAAACCATCTTATCCCATCATAACATCTCCTCCATAAACTTATCGAGTTTAATCTTAAATCCACTAAGCAAGAGGCTCTCAGTCTAGATGGCCCATTCAGGTTAATGAGCCATTAGGAGAAAACAATAGGTCTTAGAAGAAGCTTATCTCCCACCTGGGGGCCTTCCTGAGGACACTACAAACAGCCTCCGAGTGATGGCTGCTGTGACACTATAGGGACATGTGATCAGGTCACCTGGTGCTGGTCTGAATCTTGGGATATCAGTGTTTTTCTACTGATTGGCATGGGGGAACCAAGCTTTGAAACAAAGAGTTCCCCGCCATATAAAAAAGCTATATAAGGCAGGGGAGTGACATCACTGTGGTTCTTCTCTGACTCCCAACCAAAGTGACTCCTGGAAACACCTGAGGAACCGAGACTGAACTGGGGGAAGTGCTGGACCCAGGCTAAAGGGTTTTTAGCCTGTGAACGGAACACCTGGGGATTCCAAGCTGTAAACTAATGCAGCTTGCCCCTTAAGAAACAGCAGCCTGCATGTACCCTCACTTGGGGTGAGAATTTGCTATTCATATCTGATCTATGTAGTATATTTAAGCTTAGTTTGCGGTTTTTGTTTATTTGTTAGGTTATCTGCTTTGATCTGTTTGCGATCCCTTATAATCACTTAAAATCTGTCTTTTGTTGTTAATAAACTTGTTTTTGCTTTATCTAAAACCAGTGTGTGGGAGTCATAACTGGGGCAGAAAACTGTTGTGTATTCCTCTCCACACTGAGGGAGGGGACGAATTTCATGATCTTATGCTGTAAAGTTCCCTGTGCAGCGCGAGATGGTATTATTTTGGGTTTACAATCCAGAGGGGGTGCGTGCCTGAGTAGCTGGGAAGTTCCCTAGCTGGCACCTTCCCATGTAGGGGCTGGACACAGTGTCTGAATGTAACTGCAGCTGAGTGTGTACCTACCAGTATGTGTGCTGGTGAAAGTGCAGGTTGATCACAGCAGCACAGTATTCCCTCCTGGGGTGCCACCTGGAACTGGGGTACCACCCAGGGCCAGGGAGGCTCAGTGGTACCCCAGTTCCAGGTGGCACCCCAGGGGGGGAATCCATCACTGTAACTTTATGTGAACATATGTTTGAGAAGCACACTGAGGTTTAACAACCTTATTATTGTAGTAACATTGGCATGCCTTGGCACCCTCAGATAAATTTACCTTTAAAATGCAATATATTCAAAGAGAATTAGTTTTATAGCTTTTATTTTTGCATGATTTACAAGTCCAGTCCAAACATACTGAAGAAGTTGCATGAAATAAGTGGATTATATAGAGAAAAAATACATAAGCTGATTACTGGTGTCAAGGTTCCTCCCCCACTCTGAACTCTAGGCTACAGATGTGGGGACCTGCATGAAAAACCTCCTAAGCTTATCTTTACCAGCTTAGGTCAAAACTTCCCCAAGGTACAAAATATTACACCCGTTGTCCTTGGCCTGGCCGCTACCACCACCAAACTAATACTGGTTACTGGGGAAGAGCTGTTTGGACGCATCCTTCCCCCCAAAATACTTCCCAAAACCTTGCACCCCACTTCCTGGACAAGGTTTGGTAAAAAGCCTCACCAATTTGCCTAGGTGACTACAGACCCAGACCCTTGGATCTTAAGAACAATGAACAATCCTCCCAATACTTGCACCCCCCCTTTCCTGGGAAATGTTGGATAAAAAGCCTCACCAATTTGCATAGGTGACCGCAAACCCAAACCCTTGGATCTGAGAACAATGAAAAAGCATTCAGTTTTCTTACAAGAAGACTTTTAATAAAAATAGAAGTAAATAGAAATAAAGAAATCCCCCCTGTAAAATCAGGATGGTAGATATCTTACAGGGTAATTAGATTCAAAAACATAGAGAACCCCTCTAGGCAAAACCTTACGTTACAAAAAAGATACACAGACAGAAATAGTTATTCTATTCAGCACAATTCTTTTCTCAGCCATTTAAAGAAATCATAATCTAACACATACCTAGCTAGATTACTTACTAAAAGTTCTAAGACTCCATTCCTGTTCTGTCCCTGGCAAGAGCAGCATACAGACAGACACAGACCCTTTGTTTCTCTCCCTCCTCCCAGCTTTTGAAAGTATCTTGTCTCCTCATTGGTCATTTTGGTCAGGTGCCAGAGAGGTTACCTTTAGCTTCTTAACCCTTTACAGGTGAGAGGAGCTTTCCCCTGGCCAGGAGGGATTTCAAAGGGGTTTACCCTTCCCTTTATATTTATGACAACTGGGTTTTGGTAGTGCAAAGAGGAAGATAATTTACAAAGGAAATTTAAAGATATAGTTAATTAGAGTAACAAATCTGTTCTCATTAGGCATTCATCTAGACCTTTGTGTTTTAGGAGCTAAAGGTATCTTGAGGCTGGGAGAGTAACTCGAACAATATGATCTAGCTTTGTTCTCCATCCCCTTTTAACACTCATTTCCTAATCCTTTGCTGAAGGTCTGAGATCATAAGGGTGAGGCCTTCTGTGGCATACTTTGCTTATTTTTTTATTGCTTATTTTAACTATCTTCCATACAGTATATGGCTTTTATGATCAGCAATAGCAGAATCTTGCAAGTTTCTGGAGGTATGTAAGAAGTTAGATCTTTAGGGTTTTGTCTACTCAAGATAAATTTGGGGAAATTTTTTTTTCTCTAATATTGCTGCAGGTTCAGTTGAGACCATGGTAAAACTGGTGGGAATTTTGTTTTTAAAATTCCCTTGTATAAACACAGCTTTGAATTTAAGGGTTCTAATAATATTGCTTTGGACTCTTGTCCTCCCTAAACCTGAGAGTAGACTCAATCCTGTAAAAGATTTCAGATTCCTTTAAAAACAACAAGGAGTCTGGTGGCACCTTAAAGACTAACAGATTTATTGGGTCATAAGCCTTCGTGAGGAAAAACCCACGATGCATCTGAAGAAATGGTTTTTTTACCCACAAAAGCTTATGCCCAAATAAATCTGTTAGTCTTTAAGATGCCACCAGACTCCTCGTTGTTTTGTGGATACAGACTAACACACCTACCTCTCTGATACTCAGATTCCTTTGTTACACATTGGGCAATTGAACTCTAGTTAACGCCGTGTTTAATATTAAGTGCTCTAGATGCCATGCTAAGCATTAACGTAGGCAGATGCCCTGATCCTGTAAACACTTACGTACTTGCTTAACTTTACTTCTTTGAGTAGTCCCATTGAAATCAACGTGTGGTGGTTTTTGTTTTACTTTTTTAAAACTATAGTTTGTGTCTCTTTTGTCTTCTCACAAATGCAACTATAACATGTGTTTTCTTTTCTCTGAATAAGAAATGCCTTTTACAGAAATTTGTCTCTGCATTATTGGATGCTGATGGTAGCATTTCTAAAGTAAATTAATTCCAATAATGAAAGGGAAAAATGTGTTTTTCCAAGAGGACTATTTTAGAGTCAGTACTGCGCATTGAAAGTGAATATGATGACCAGATGTAATTACCTACAATTCGGAGCAATTTTAACCATCTCAGCCAGCAGCAAAATGGGTTTAAACTGTACCAATCCATCAAACAGTTCTGGAAAATGACTAGAATCATTTATTTTATTTTTTTTAAAGTTGTCTTTACTAAGTAGCCAAATATGGGAAAACATATCTACTGAATATATTGTGTTAAACTTTTTAATTTAACAAAGGAATACAACATTTATAAAAACACTTTATTAATATCTTATTGTGGATAAAAATAATTTTCCAGTTGGAACAATAGAAATGGAGCAGTATTTGACTAAGCAGCATTTTGAACACAATTTCCCTGAAATTCAAAGATGCTGTGCACCTACAAGCTCCTGTTGAATTAATTGGGGGTTGAAGGTGCTCAGCTCTTTTGAAAATAAGCCAGCTGTTTTTAGATATTGTGCTTGTGTGTGCTATATAGCAAAAAATAAATGTGTTAAAGCATTTAACTGATCCATCTCCTGATAGCAAAATTTTGTTTCCACAGCAAAAATGAAACATCTCAACCTGTCATTTGCAGCTTGTGGGTTTCTGGGTATATACCACTTGGGGGCAGCATCTGCTCTTTGCAGGCATGGTAAGAAGTTACTGAAGGTTGTGAAGGCTTTTGCAGGAGCTTCTGCAGGATCACTGGTTGCCACAGTTCTGTTAACAATGCCAGAAAACATAGAGGTAATTGAAAAGTAACTAATCCATTTAGAATGTAGCAATTTAAAAAACAAACACAAAAAAACCCCCTTAAATTCCTAAAGTAAGGTTTTTAGGCTGGCACTATTTTTTTTTGGTTGACTGTTTTATTTTGTGTGTGTGTGTTTGTTATTTTAGTTCTTGTCTAGGAGCAGAGCTCACAACTCTTTGTTTTCCCTAACAAAGAAAGTCTGTGTATATTCCTCATACAGTTTTTAAAAATACTTACCAACTAACGAAGTATGTGCTCAATTTAAATAATAAGATTATATTTTAGCTGTATAATTTTAAAGTCACATATGGATAAAGATTTGTTGATATATGTAAAGTCATACATACACGTGTGCACGCACATACACTATTTGTATCCTTGTAGTTTAGGACAGCAGTTCTCAACCGGGGATCTGTGGCCCCCTGGGGATCCATGAGCCGGTTTCAGGGGGTCTTTGAGCCCCAAGCCCTGGTGCCCTGTGGAGCAGAAGCCCCGAGCCCATGGGCAGAGTTGGTGGGGAGATCAGAGGTGCGTTGACCCCCAAACTGCAGTGCCTTAACCGTAGCAGAGCAGTCCCAGTGGCAGCTCCACACACCGCTCTTCCCCAACCCCTGAAGCCCCGCCTCCTGGCCTGGTTGGTGGTGGGAAGTTGGAACTGGGCAGTGTGGGGTGTCTGCTGCTCTGACAGGTTTCGTGGAGGGGGAAGTGCAGCACTCCCTTGTCTTCTCTTGGTGCCCAGGGCTGTGGCTGCTCCTCAGCTCCCAGCTCCTTTTGTACAACCAGTAAGAGCTGCCTGGGCATGGGGATCTCGTTCTGCAGAGCCTTCGGGGAGCAGCGACAGTAGTGGTGTGTGTGTGTCTCTTGGCACAGCCCCTAGAACCCCTCTCCCTGCACCCTGAGCAGTTTTCAAACTTTTTGAGCTGAACCCCTTACCCTTTGAGTTATAATTTTTGGTTGCGCCTCCCCCAACCCAGACAAGCTGGGTGGTCTGCCGAGGTGAGTTGGGGATGGAGTTGGTTCTCCCTTCCCGAGCCCTGCCGGCTCTGCCCCACTCCCACCCCAAATAGAAGTCAAACTACACCTATGCCCGAGGTCCTTGCCCAGGGGCCGGAGCCCCGATGTCCTGCAGGGCAGAAGCCCAGATGGAAGAACCTGAAGCCCAGAGCCCCCAATCCTTACCACCACCACCCAGACTCTGGAGTTTTTGTAGCATGTTGGGGGCAGAAGGGGCTGAGAAAGAAAAAGGTTGAGAAACCTGGGTTTAGGGGACAATATGAGGGAAGTGATGAGTGAGATTTTTGCTGGTGATATGCTTTTAATTTATTAAAGTTTGCTGTAGAGTGGTAATCAGTTTCTGTCCTAGGCTGACAGTCACAGCCAACTGCAGACACTGTTCAGTAAGCATTCACTGCTGTCCTTGTAAGGAAGGAGATATAAGGAACTTATAGGTGCTTTCTTAATTGATTGATATTAGCGCATACAGTTATAGGCTTTGATTCTCTATTTTGTCCAAGGTCTGATTGGGTGGAGTAAAGAGTGGATGATTGAGGGCATGTTTGCAGGAAGCCAGTTATGGCTTTCTGATTCAGGGCCAAGTAGCCCTGCTCAATTTCGGGCTGTCGCTGTGAACTTACACCAATGGAGGATGATGCATGGCTCTGCCATTCCCCCTACCTGTCCCACCCAGGCTTTACCCCTCCAAAATACCCCCTCCTCCTTAGGCTGGAAGTGGTGAGGGAGAGAGAGTGGAGCAGCAGAGCTTTCTGATGGAGAGTTCTCTGCAGCAGCAATTCTCCACTACCTCGGCTGCTTGAAGGCCACTTTGCACTTCTTATGCAGCCCAAAGTGGCCTTAGTAGACTGGAGAATCCAACCCAAAATGTAAAAATGAAACTAAATGATCATTCACTGACTACCAGCACGAGCCCAAAAGTTTTGGTTTTGCTCTTTTATTGGAATAAAGTACATATTACATTGTCTGATATTAATGAAATTTTGCATGTACAGATATCATTATATGAATTAGAGAACACTATTTGAGGTCTCTAGCCTTTCTTTACATTTTTAAAAATTAACTTTTTCATCATTCTGTTTCTGTTGCACAAATGGAAAATTATGTGAGCCCTCCAGTGGACAAAATAATACAGTAGAACCTCAGAGTTACGAACACCAAAATTACGAACTGACCAGTCAACCACAAACCTCATTTGGAACCGGAAGTACGCAATCAAGCAGCAGCAGAGACGAAAAAATAAGGCAAATGCAGTACAGTACTGTGTTAAACATAAACTATGAAAAAATAAAGGGAAAGCAGCATTTTTCTTCTGCATAGTAAAGTTTCAAAGCTGTATTAAGTTATAAACTTTTCAAAGAACAACTATAACATTTTGTTCAGAATTACAAATGTTTCAGAGTTATGAGCAACCTCCATTCCTGAGATGTTCATAACTCTGAGGTTCTACTGTATCTCTTAATTTACATGGATGTTACCCAAAGACAGTTCAGTCTTGTGGATAGAATGTGTTTCATTCAAATGTTGTATTTCTATTGAAATTTCTGTTCAACTTTTCTGTCACTGTAATTCTATATTCTTACCATTAGCAAAAAATAAATTCCAACTGAGCCAAACTATGAACAAAGAATGTTACAAAGAACATTCCAACATAGACATATTTGATATCCGTAAAAGCAACTTTGTTAGACAAGTTAGGTTTTTTTTCAAATATGGCTAAGTTAGACAAATCATAATTAGGACTTTCTCCCACCCCTGATTACAGAGATCTTGTGTGGGTTTCTGAATCTGAGGAGAGAGTCTAAAAGTGAGGTGAGCTGTAATTAGTGCTTGGTGAATAATGGATTTTTTCAGTTTGCTGTAAAATTAAAAAAAAAATTAAAAAAAGTTTTGTTTTGCATTGAAGGGAAAATGTTTTTTGAAAACTTCCTACAAATCAAAATATTCCAGGAATGTCAAAACAAAACATTTCGACCCAAAAAATTTCATTTTACTTTCAGGCTTTTTGATTAAAACAAAGGAAAGGAGGACTAGATTCACAACTTTGGTAGTGAAGAAGTGGTGGTGGCTTAGCTCCCTTGTAAGCTTTAGCCCAGTGGTTAGGGCACTCACTTGGGATGTGACACGTGCCGAATGTGATTTTCAAAAGTTCCTAAGCAGGTTAAGCACTTAACTTTCACTAGTTTCTGCATCTTTAGGCATATCAATACTAAGTCACTTTTGCAAATGGAACTTAGGCTCCTAAGTCACACTGATGCTTTTGAATAGTTTAATATCTTATGACCATAACTTTGAGTAGTTGTCAACAGGAGATGTTCTTTTTGATGGCAAAAGTGAATAATTCTTATTATGACTAGATCCTGTCATACAAAACAATAGCCTGTAATACATACTGTGTCCACACTTATTCACTTGAAATGAACAGGTGATTTGGAATTGGTAATGCCCTATAGAGCACAATTTGTCAGTAGTTCCTATCTGATAGCTGTTTGACCTGTGAGAAATAAGTTGGTCTCAGACATGTTATAGTGAAGATTTGTTTCTAGTACAAATCTATCACAGTTGGCATTTAATTCACACATATGTTGCCAGTCTATACAGAGAGCCTGAGTAGGGAGACTAAATTTTCTTCTGGCACTTAGGTGGGCCAGATTTAAGACACGTGCAAGGTATGGGAAAGTTTTACTGCTGCCAATGGTATATATCTCTTCTGTGGATAGCATGCCTTCTGTTTTCAGGGCTGTCAATCTTTACCTTTTCTGAGCACTGATTTTATAACATGTTACCCAAAAAAACGAACAAAAATCCCTGTAACCAGATGTCTCCAAATGTTGATCCAAGACTCTATTTTTAATTTATTTATTTATTGCAACAAATTTAGTATTTCATCATGCAGAAAGCTATTAACCAAAAAACTCTAAGCTATTTATAGACCACTCTAATGTACAACTGAACACTTAAAGTGCATTTAGGTACAACATGTTTCTTGAAAACCAGTTTTGAAAACTGGATAGCAGGTTCTTCGAGACACTAGAATTGGAATAACTCTTTTCACAAAATGGTATAGGAATTCATACAAATACAGTTTTGCTAATCTCAAGCATTCAAAGTCCAAAGTTAGACCCTCTGAAAATCATCTTAAAAGCAAATAAATATTGGGTTCTTTTTATTTGCCTTCTGACAGTTGAGCTTCTGACAGTTTAGGGTTCATATTTCTAAGCTTTGATCTGCAACAATGAGGTTTGGAAACTTAGGGTTTTTTTTAAAAAAATTGATATTCTTACCTTTATAACATGACATCAGGACCTGAAACTTTAAGAAAAACACTAGATGTTGCAAGACTTGTCAATAAAATGGTGAGAGATAGCAGTATATTCCATACTTGCAAGTAAATATGAATTTAATATGTTGTCACAAAAATATATTTACTGTACATAAAGTAATTGTGTTCAGCAGCTTCAGAGAACTGGCCCTTGTGGGTCAGATGCAATATTACCTTTATTCCATTGTAAATTGCTTGTATTTACTGAAGATTTACTCTCAGAATGTCTTTTATGTGTCAGTTTTGCCTACCCACTTCAGTTGTCACCAGTGCTTGTTAATTTTTCCCAACAACTGCAGAAATTTTGCTTTTGCATCAGTGAGGGAGGAGCCTTTAAATACCTTTTCAGTCTTTCTTTTTATACAGCTGTAGTGAAATACCTCAACTGTATCTTTATTGGTTAAGTGAATTTTAAGATGTCGCTTTCCATTGAAATTCCCTGATATAAAAGCTAACTTCTGCAATGTTACATGTCAGCGGATTCCTCATCTAATGGGTGATATTCATAGAAAATAAACAGCATACCTTTTGGATTTTTATATATATATACACACACACATATATATATCAGGTGAAAGAAAAAATCCGTAAGGTTTGCTGTTTATTTTCTATGAATATATAAATATATAAAACTTTCTTTCACATTTTTTCCCATGTGGTATACACAAGTGAGATGGTGTGGTGTGGAGAAGTAATTCATTTGTCTTATTCACATCTGGTTTGTCTGTAATGGGACGTGAGCAAACATAGACTTCATCAGTTATCTTGTAACTCCTTTTTGGTAAAGTAAATGCTCATCAATTAATATGCTATGGATAAACCATTACACTACAATTATTTATAATTAACATTTGGTGTAATTCAGGTGGACATGGTTTTTAATAACTACATAACCTTTCATACCAAGCATTTTAATTTTCAGGAATGCGAAGTGTTTACCTATAACTTTGCAGAGGAAATTAGAAAACTGTACTTTGGTGCAGTGACACCAGGTTATGATTTCATGACACGACTTAGGTATGTATCTTAATGTACTTTTCTAAGTTCAATTCTATATAAAACTCAAAATTAGTGAAAATAGTGAGAAAGTGTAGAAGGCTATTTGTACTATGGAAAGCTCAGCTTTCTTCCACTTCTGAAATATTTATAAGCTGTTCAATAATTAATGGTGAATAATGTTAATCATTTTCTTTATTATAGGGCAGGTATAGAGTCTTTTCTTCCTTCTAATGCTCATGAGATAGCAGAGAATCGTCTCTATGTATCAATCACCAACACTAAAAATGGAAAAAATTATTTGGTTTCAAATTTTTCCTCCAGGGAGGACCTCATTAAGGTAACAAAGTTGCATATCACTTCTGTAAATGAAAATGCATGCCTGTCTCCCAAAGTATGAGACATCTTTTTTTTTTATTTTATTTTTGTAATTTGATTAAATCCTATTCCTTTTACTCATTTGAGTAATCTCACTGACTTCAGTGGGACTGCCCACATAACCAAGGCAAGCAAAAATATAGTAGCACAGCAGCACCACTATAGTTAAGGTTGTGTCACAACTTCTGTTTAAAGGTCAATGTTTTTAAGTCTTCTAAAATCAACATGCTTAATCAGATTCCTTTCAAATTTGGTGTGCCTCATGATGGTGCAGGATAAGGATAGTGACCCAAATTTGGGCTAGGAGTTCCAGAGATACAAACCCTGAAAAAAACTAGCCATTTTTCAAAAAGTTTCTAGATAGTATGTTTTTGTACAGAGCAGGAGCTCAAACTATTGATGTGATGCAGATCAAATGGTCTCAGTCTGTTGAGTTTTACCCGAAGTTGTGCGTAGCACCCACTAAATCTTTGTGAGACCCAAACTGAGAACAGTATTTAAGAAAGTGTACATTATTTACAGACTGCATACAACAATACAGAAAAATGCCTACAAGATTTACATTCCTGCCATTTTATGGGCTTTAAAGCTCAACTCTTGTACATAAGAATGGCCATACTGGATGAGACCAATGGTCCATCTAACACAGTGTCCTGTCTCTGACAGTGGCCAGTGCCAGATGCTTCAGAGGGAATGCACAGAACAGAGCAATTTATCAGGTGAACCATTTCTGTCATCCAGTGCCACCTTCTGGTTTAGGGACACCCAGAGCATGAGGTTGCATCCCTGCACATCTTGGCTAATAGCCATTGAGGGACATATCCTCCATGAACTCACCTAATTATTTTTTGAACCCAGTTATAGTTTTGGCCTTCACAACAACCCATGGCAATAACTTACCTGGGTTGAGTGTGCATTATGGGAACAAGTACTTTTGTTTCTTTTAAAGCTGCTGCCTGTTAATTTCATCAGGTGACCCCTAGTTTATGTGTTATGTGAAGGCATAAATAATACTTCCCTATTCACTGCCTTTATACCATTCATGATTTTATACACATCAATTGTATCACTCCTCAGTCTTCTTTTTTCTAAGCTTGAACAATCACAGTTTTTTTAATCTCTCCTTATATGGAGCTGCTCCATATCACTAATAATTTTGGTTGCCCTTCTCTGTACTTTTCAAATTTTAATATATCTTTTTTTGAGATGGGACAGCCAGAATTGCATTAATTATTTAGGTGTGGGGATACCATGGATTTTTATAGTGGCATTGTGATATTTTCTGTTTTATCATTTATCACTTTCTAATGGTTCCTAAGACGTTTAGCTTTTTTGACTAGTTCTGCACATTGAGCGGGTGTTTTCAGAGAACTATTCACAGTGACTGCCAAGATCTTTCTTGAGTAGTAACAGCTAATTTAGAGCCAGTCATTTTGTATGTATAGTTGGGATTATTTTTTCCAATGTGCATTACTTTTCACTAATCAACACTGTGAGTGCTTTCAAATCTGATTGGTTACTCAGATTGCTTTGAAATTAGGTTTGTGTCATGGGGATGCAGGATAACATTGTGATCAAAATTTGGGGTCATTTGACTGAGTGGTTCCTGAGTGAAAGAAACCCCCTGTCATGGGGTGAATGTATCCCATACTGGCCCAGCAACCAAAGAATTAATACAGGCACTGCAGGCTGCTACCGATTGGAAGCCTTGAAGCAGCTGGGAGGATAAAAGGGCTGGGTGGCAGAGTGGCGGGACAGTTACCAGAGAAGTGAGCAGGCTGAAGATAAAAGCTCCTGACAGCAAACTACTAAAGAGCTTCCCAGAAACAACAGTCCAGGAGCGGATTAACTGATCGACAGGGTGGGGAGCCTGCAAAGATCCAGGGAAAGGTAGGAAAAAGATCAGGGCATTGTCAGAGTCGAAGAATCCTGATTTTGCTTACCTGACTTGAAGGCCCTGAGCTGGAACCCAGTGGAGTGGGCGGGCATGGGTTCCCATACCAACCCCTTGGCAGACTTGGAACTCAAGAAAAGTTTGTCAAACTCCTGTGCACCAGGATTGGACTCTCAGCCCGGGCTCGGTAAGCCCTAGGGCTGTGCTACACTTGGCCAGATGGGCTCTGTTGCCCTCCTGCACTATCCCATACCTCACTTTCCCCAAAATAAAAAATAGTTATTTCTTTCTTCTGCCTTGTACTGTTAAACTGAGAAATACCAATGACTGGAGGAATCACAGGCCCTGTGGAGATAGATGGCTGTGAGCTCCCTCTTTAATTAACACATTTAAGGGTGAGCTAACCACAAGCCTCCACTAAGATAAAAGGAGTTTTGGACTGAGTGGCTGGAGGTTGACCAGCCTCTTTATTATTCTGCTGTGTTCATAATAAACCTCCCCATAAAATAGAAGCATGTTATATTTTAACAGAAACAACTGGTCACAAACAACATGAGTTATTAAATCTTTACTGCACAGAAACATCAGTGGGTGTTCACTCACGGCAGTGGCATTGGCACACGCCCTCGAACTACCCAGCCATGCATGAAGCGGCTTCATAGAAACCTTGTGATTATCTTATCCTTAAATGTGTTAATTTGAGTCATGGGTGGCAATTTTATTGCGAGTAATCCAAGTGTTTGGGGCGGGGGGGGGGGGAATAGACATGTGACTGCTTCCTAGGATGGGAGGAGAGGAGTATTAGGGAGCAGAGGAATGGGTAAATAAGGCGTCAGAGGGTTTTGGGGCTGCAGTGAGTCTAGTTTTACCCAAGGTACTGTACGGCACCCAATAAGTTTCTGAGGGACTCCAGTGAATGATGTTTAAGAACAGGTTCACTTATTTGCTTGTGCAGTCTAGTAGGATTACAGTGCGTAAGCACCAATAAAGAAGAAAAAACATTACGGTTTCTGTGAAGCCGCTTCATGCATGCCTAATTGGTTGGAGGGAATGTGCCAATGCCATTGCCGTTCGTGAACACCCACTGATGTTTCTGTGCAGTAAAGATTTAATAACTCATGTTATTTGCAGGCTGGTCTAACCAAAATTTTGGTTATATCAAGTGGGGAGGAACCAGGTACAGAGGACTTTGTGGTAGGAGGACAGGAGAGGGATTGCTGCTCTTGAGGGAGCGGGGAAATGAGGATGTGTTGGAAAGCCTTGGATTGTCTGAGAAAAGCTGTTTTACCAGTTTCTGAGAATAGGGAGGAGAATGGGGCTTGTAAATGGCTACTTCTTGATCTCAGCGCAGATTTATGCGGTGTTTCCAAAGACACACAGGATGGGAGTGGAAAGAGGTGGCCTGTGTTGGCATCATGTTTTGCCCACTCTGACGCATCTAACTGATGGCTTAACAGGTTGTGACCTACCTAGAGCAGGGGTGGGCAAACATTTTGGCCCAAGGGCCACATCTGGCTATAGAAATTGTATGGCAGGCCATGAATGCTTATGAAATTGGAGTTGGGGCGAGGACTGTGTCTGGGGGTGCAGGCTCTGGGGTGGGGCCAGAAATGAGGAGTTCAAGGTGTGGGAGGGGGCTCTTGGCTGGGGCATGGGGAATGGGGGGGAGGGCTCCGGCTGGGGGTGTGAGCTCTGGGGTGGGGCTGAGGATGAGGAGTTTGGGGTGCAGAAGGGTGCTCTGGGCTGGGACCGAGGGGTTTGGAGGGCGTGAGGGGTATCAGGGCTGGGGTAGGGGGTTGGGGCATGGGGACGTGGCTCAGGGTGCAGGCTCAGGTGACTTACTTCAAGTGACTTCAGGAAGCAGCAGCATGTCCCCCCTCTGTCTCCTAGGCGGAGGCGCGGGCAGGCAGCTCCGCTGCGTGCTGACCCATCTGCAGGTACCACCCCTGCAGCTCCCATTGGCTGTGATTCCCGGCCAATGGGAGCTGCAGGGACAGTGCTTGGGATGGGAGCAGCATGCAGAGCCAGAGGGGGGACATGCCGTTGCTTCCGGGAGTGGCCCCCGACCCTGCTTCCCAGCTGGAGCTCCAGAGTGGGGCAAGCCCCAGACCCCGCTCCCCAGCGGGAGCTCGAGCACCGGATTAAAGTGGCTGGTGGGCCGGATCCAGCCCACAGGCCGTAGTTTGCCCACCCCTGACCTTGGGGTTGTGGTGATTCACTTGGGAGACAATGATCTGCGTCTTATTCCTGATGTGCATTTCATATGTTATATTAAGAGCGGATTAAGACTGCATCATAGATTTGTGTCCAGCAGCAGTGATTGGTTTCTCTGAGTTTGCTGAGTGTTTGAATAACTGCTACAGTGACAATATGATTAATATTAATAAGTGTTGGTAGAACATTAAATCAGGAAATTGGAGGGTTTATGGCTGACTGAAAATACTTACTGTATGGCAAAGAAAAACTGCAAGCTCTGCCACCTCCCTGTTTCTCAGAGATGGGGTACATCTGTTGGGCAGGGGTCTTGCTCTCTCTCTCTCAAACATAAAACTGTCATTATTTTAGAAGAGAAATCCTGTCTGTGATTTCTCTCACCATCCCTTCCAAACTCCACTGCCCAACCATTCTGAGTCATGACCTGTAATGTCTACATGTATCTATGCAGCTACAGACATTGTAGCTGGCACATGGAATGGTGCTTGAACTGTGCCATGAAGTGGCTGTGGAGCAGCACAAGAGCTTGCTGAACCATGCTGCTGGTGCACATATTCATCATTCTGGCCATGAGCCCTTGGTCCTGCTCCCTGTTCACCCTCTTTATCCAGGAGCTTCTGGAGCTGTCTCTCCTCATGGAGTGTGCCTCTCTCCTGCTTAGTTTTCTTAAAAGCAAGGTGCTGTTTGCTCCTCCTTGGTCCTCCTCCTGATCCCGCTGCTGGCTAATTGTGACACTCAGAGTTCTAGGTGAGAGGCTTGGCCCAGCAGGTGAGAAAGTGCCTGCCAATGGAATGAAACAGTAAATTAATTATATTGCCATTGGGGGAAGGAAGAGGATCTCCTCATTTTGCTTT